AGGTGAACACGTGAACATCAGCCAGCAGGGAGTTCAACTGAGAAGCGAAACCAAGACTGATCCTGTGCTCAACTAAATTCCACTCGCAGGTAGTTTTACAGTGGGGGAGGGGGAGAACCGGATAGAGGTCAGGAGCTATGAAAGCTGGCCACCTGTCCCTTTCGCCAGGAAAGTCGATAACAGTTGACTTTCCTGGCGAACTGGATTTCCTTGCTCTGCCCCACACCCCCCTCCGTTAGCCCTTAAAAGCCTCTCCTCCCAAATGCCCCAGTTCTGATGAAACATTGATTCACCTTCCTTTCTCCATAGATGCTGCCTGACCTGATGAGTGTTCCCAGCGACTTCTGTTTTTGTGTCAGATTTCCAGCATCTGCAGTATTTTGCGTTAAGTCAATAACAGTGTTCTTTCTGCTCTTCAGCTGTATAATAATAATAATCCTTGCATTTGGTAGCGCCTCATACGTCTTGAGACGTCTCAAAGCGCTTCACAGAATTACTGTAAAGTGAATTGACTGTATATTTTGTGGGCGAAACTCGTCAACCAATTTCACACAGCAGCGTCCCACAAACAGTCGTGGATTGAGTGACCACATTTTTATTTTATTTTAAGGAATTATTACCCCGGAAAAGAGATACGCCAATCGACTACAACAACAACAAGATTTCATTTATAGACTAACAGCCACATCACCACAGACAAGGCATCTCATCACCAGGCACCCGTGATCACTGGCACTAAACCCACCTCAAGCAACTTTGGGACAAGAGTCTTTGCTGCAAAAGCCATGTTTGAGCATCAGTCTTTTCTGCAGAGCAACTCTCTGACTACCTGTCGAGAGCAGAGTCTGTGCGAGACCTTTACATATTTAGCTGTCAACCTCGCATTTCAGCAACAGTCACATGATGACAGGGGCCTGTCTTCCTGCATTGTAAAGCTCAGTGTAAAATACTGTAGTGTGTGTGTGTGTGTGTGCATAATGATGCATCATGGCATGTGTGCGTGTGTGTGGGTGGGTGAGGTACACACAGGGAGCATCTCTACAAATACACGAAGTAAAGTAAATCCACTTTACAGTGGAAGTTTTGTTGCAACCCCGCGTTTGGTTACTGTTTTGCTCCATAAAACAACAACAACAACAAATTACAACAAGCGCCTTGCACATCGGGAGGTCGTCTCAAGACACTGGACAAGTCAGGTATTTGGACCCAAGCCGGGGGTTGGTTGGGATCAGGAGGGGTGGAGGGCAGGGAGTAGGAAGGTGACCGAAGGCGCAGTCGAAGAGGAGGGTCTTGAGACAGGCCTTGAAGGAGGCCACACTTTTTTTTTTTGCCCTCCGTACTGATGGCGTTACCACTGAAACTGGTGAAGTGCTGGTGAAATGACTGTGGGTTTTCCTGGCGATAAACCCAGACACTTCTCTCGTGATACTCACGATTCAGACAAAATAATGAAAAATGGGAGACGGAGAGCAAACTCAGGGCTGTTTTTTAAAAAAAAAACATACTCGTTTGTAGCATCCCTACAAATACAGTCACTCCACTTTACAGTAAATCACGTGAAGCACTTTGAGATATCCTTCCAACGAAAAACTGATTGTCCAGCGCATTGGGATGTCCTCCCAAGGTGAAAGGCACTATACAAATGTAATTTTGTTGTTGTTGTAAGGTGCTGTGCCAAATGCAAGGATTATTATGATTATTATGATTATTATTATTTTCCCTGTTCACTTCTCAACTGGTGCTATTTTCGAAACCCGTTCTATAACGAAAATCAAAGTGGGAATAACCTTTTCTCTTCTTCCATTAAAACCTCCTCCATATATTTATATTCTGTATATATTAAACTATATATATATATATAAAATAATGTTTTCCTCTCACAGACAAAAGGGGTTGCATTTCTCTATCATTCCATTATGAATGATCCACACAAAATCCATTCTGCGTGCCATAAAAACACAGGGAAGAAGACTGGTTAATTTCCTATTTAATTTCGCCCCCACCACCAAAAAAAATCAAAGGCATGGGGAGGGAATGGAGAATGGATGAGTAGTTTTACAGAAACAACAGAGTCGGATTTGCTTAACTGCCTATGGCAAGGAGGAAATGGGTGAGAGAGAGAGAAAGAGAGAGAGAGGGGGGGGGGGGAAAAATCGAAATAAGATTTTTGTGTGTTCAAGGAACAAGCAATTAAAAAAAATCCTTGTGCTTTCCCCCCCCTCGCCTTCCGATTGATGGGCTGATGATGGGAATCGGAATGGCAGACACAAGCAGGAATAAAATGAACACACATGTTTTCTTTTTGGTGGGTGGTGGTCAGCTGGGCGTCAGACACATGCGGAAATTCACCGCCGTGCTTAAGGGTATCCAAACCAAGCCGAGATTTCCATGCAGCCCACCCACCCGCCCGCACGCATATATATATATATATATATATAAAATCCACGTACACTATGTACACAAACACACACAAAACACCACCTTTTAGAGGATTGCAATGAAACAAACCAGACTGAACCGTACAAGGAGCTGACACACGTGGTGGGAGCGGAGCAGTCAGACTAGACACGTCCCAGAATAAAACACACACACACACACACAGACACAGACTGATCCCATTAACACGGCTCATTGAGAGGTGAGGAAAGGGGGGGGGGGGCGGTGGAAGAAAAAAAGGGGGGGGGCTAGAGAGAGAGAGAGACCCTTCTCCCCTCCCATACTCACTCCTCCCTCTCTCTCTCTCCCCCCTCCCTCTCTCTCTCTCTCCTCTCTC